ACAGTGTCTGCAGCTGGATGGCAAAGGGAAACCACTTGAAACAGTCTGTTACACTTTTTACTGTAAATTAAAATTCAAATCAGGTCATCACAATTTGAAGATGTATATACAGATTATAGATTTGTAAAGCTCACCAATTAATAATTTAATTTTTTTTTTATTTAATTCAAACACTGCAATGCAAAAATGGCAAGTTGTAGTTTCCGAGGGAGTTACATGCTGAAACTATTACTTGGCTGGACCAGGCCTGTGATTTCATGAAGCCTTTTCGTCAGCTAACCGCCTACTGGCTCCAGCTTCATATTTAGCATAGAGACGTGACAGTGCTATTGATCTTTCAAAAATGTCCGATCTTTCTAAAATGCCCAATTCCTTTAACAGACCAGACATACCAAAGCTTCAGACTTTGCCAATAATTTTCATTGTAATGTACCGTGGCACTTCCTGGATCTGGTTCATTTTGTGCTGCACTATTGAACACTGCGCAAGGTCCATTCTGGCTGTTGTCTTCTGCTATCTTGTGACATGTCTCCCTACAATAAAACATTAACGTGGAAGAGCACATAAAGAAGGCATCGTCTTTCTGGGATAAAAATCTTTCACTCTCCTATTACTCTCTCCCTGGATGTTAAAAAGCTTTTACTTGAGTTTTTGTTATTGTCTTACCCATCTCCATTAGTTGTAGAAGCTCAATTTGAACCGAAGGTCCATAAAAGGGTATGAGAAATATATGAAGAATGTGGCCAGATAACACAGCTACACACCAACGTTTCTTTATTCCCTCCACCCCCTTTGTTTCTTCATTCCTTTTACCTCCTGTCTCATTATCATGAGGCACACATACCTAACTGGGAACATGGCCTTTAGAGCTGTGGTATTTCCTCTTGACCCATTCAACCATTCAATGCCTGCCTCATCAGGAGGAGACAGTGACTAAGAAGGAAATTATTCATTAAATTTCAGTCCTGAACTGTAAAAAAAATGCCACTGTCATTCTAAGTTTCCCATGGTTTAAAATGCAAAACACATTAGTGTTTAAGTTTAGCTATTGCTACATAGCCAACGTTAGCATTGACACTGCAGTAACGTGTTTTTGACCTCACTGCTGTGCACATATCCTGGATTGTCTGTATATGGGAAACATGCAACATTAAACATCCAATTTATTTTGCCCCAATGCATGAACCTTGGAATTCCCAGCATTGTATTTAGCATTCAAGCGGTCATAATTTAATCCTATCAAGCATCATAAGATGCCAGTGAACTACAATGACCTTTAACATGCAGTATGATGCAGCACAATCGTGCTTGTTTGTTGCCTTGGTAATCAGATGTAGGAATAGCCAGGTAATATTGCAATGCCCCTAGTTTATAGTCTTTGTTGCTTGAAAAGTATTTTTCTTACTAAGATTTAAAAAAAAGAAAAAAGAAAAAAAAGTGAGTTATATCATATCTTACATCTCCTTCGGGTTCAGTAAAATGACAATCTGTGGAAATCACAATTACAAAATGTGGTTTGATCGGAGTCCAATGTGTGCTAAGTCTATGTGGATCATATAAATCTCCAATTAGAAGAAGAAAAATGGGAAACAAAACAAACACCAGACTATAACAAAGAGTGGAGGGTTTGCATGCAACAACAGTGATACAGTGCCTGAAACAAAACCACAGATCTCCTGTTGTAAAGAAATTCACAGTTCCAACATAAGAAAAGAAATCTTAGTTTCTTAGTCCAGCATGTCCGACTGTATTAATCTCACAAGTACTGTAGTAATCCAGCAGGAGCAGCGTAAAACAACAGTGAGTAATTGGCTACTGCCAGGATCTTATAACTGCTAAGTGTTGTGACACAATAAGAGTAAAATAGTCAGAGCAAGTGGTTTCAGGGAAAATCCCTCAAGCTTAAGAAGAATTTGTTGTAACTAAACATGCATGTTGTCAACCCCTTTTAAAGTTTTGCTAGCTGCCGATACAAGCGGAGATGCTGGATTGGTAAATGTGTGGGTGTCTTCTAGTGATTATTTCATCAAACGCATGAATTTTAGGTGCAGATGAAACTGTGATCTCTATGACATGATGTCTGACTGCGACAAACTCTGAATATCCTCCAATGACACCCATCATTATCTCAAAAACTAAGCTTTTAATACAGCTAATAAACCCATACATAATTCGTCAACTATGAAGTCCCCCCATAAAATCATGACTCTGATCCTTAGCCATTTTTTCTTTATCCCTAAACTGAACAGAACCAAAATGAAATCTGGAACAGAATTGCACCAAGATAAAATTCCCTGTCAGCTTCAAATTTTTAACAAAATATTGTTGAAAATAGCATTATAGTCTAAATATCTCCAAAAAGCCTTTAATCCCTGAGGTTTGGTCACAATTTAGAAAAACCTTTCTTTTGGGTTTTGGGTTTCCTCTCATCTTCCAGCTCTCCTTCCTCTGCCTTCCTCTCTCCTCCATCTCCAATCCCCTCCTGTCTGAAATGGGGCTGTGCTCTTACCCTTACATGGACTCAAGACAGAAACTGACCAAACACTCTCATCAGTCACTCTGCACCGTCTACATTCATTTACAGCTGCATCACCATTCCTGCTGAACAAACTCAAACTGCTGTGGTTACATAAAGACTGTTGGTCCAAGGAGACATTGGGAAAGATGGAGCTTGTGAGAAAGTGAGAACACACACTTGTCCTCAGCTTGCACTGCTCACACTGTGGAGTTAAACACCAGAGGCTGGCTGAATCTAAACCTGCCTGACCTTTATAAAGTATCAACACTAGTACAAAGGGTAAAAAGTTAGTCTGCTCTGTTCTAATCAAGCATAACTTACTGGGTTGTTAGATCCACTAAACCCTGCACCTTTAGTCGCTGTTGTTATGCTAATCAAGCATTCTCAAAATTCTTAAATTATACAAATTCAACAATAAATGTTTTTAACCCAGAGGGCAACAAAAGCATTTTAGCCAGCAACATGCATCTCCCAAAATCTGTCAGTTTTCATTTCAGGCAGCAAAACTGACAGATTTTAGGAGCTGCATGTTTCGAGGTAGATTAAACGCTGACTGGAAGTTGGTAAAAAAAAAAAAAAAAAAAAAAAAATGTCTCCAGCTGACTGTTTTTAAAAGTCTGGATTAGATTTATATTTTCTTGTTAGCATATTTTGATAAGTTTGTTTCACTTGTCATGTAATTTGCCTGATGATGGTCTAGCACTGAAACGTCAGACATTAATTTATCATTGCAAGTTACACAGTGATTCAGCAGTTACTGTCTCAAAGTGTGTGTGTGTGTGTGTGTGTTTGGGGGGGTAGAGTGAATAGTCAATTTTAACATGCTTGAAATTTTTACCTAATAGAGAGTTGTGTAAAAAAGCAAAAAGTTTTGTGTTTACCAAGCTCAAGTGTACACAGACTTTTTCTGGTAGCTCTGAGTTAAGATGTTGTGACACATTAGAAAAACGTATCAGAGTCCATAGAAAGTGAATTTTTTTGTCGGCTGCTTCTTTGTTGATTTTTAACATGAAGTTGAAATACACAAATGGAAGAAAATAATTCTCAATCTTTGAACAACCGTATTCTTCAGACTTAAACCACTAAAAAAAATCAAGCATATCTTGTACTTGGCTTCCCAAGTTGAAAATACGACTTTATGAGCTCAGTTTTAAAGGCACCATCAGCCTTAAATTTGTCTGGGTCAACTCTTTTATATCAGCTGTTTCTGCATATTTCCAGTTTGTGGTAAGAAGTTCATCTTGGTTTCGGTGTGAAATAATTCCAGAGTAACACAGTTGTGGTTCTTTAGTTTAATCTGTGTGTAGCTGCCTTGCGACTCATCCCCTCTCCTTCCAATTCACTCTCTTTCTCAGAGTGTGTGTGTGTGTGTGTGTGTGTGTCAAACTCTCACACACACACACACACACACACACACACACACACACGCACACACAAACAAAATGTTTGTCTTGGTCGACTCTGCTGAGTGGGCCATAAAAGCTTGTATTGTTGCCATGTCATGACACTGAAAGGACAAAGACAAAGAAAGTGGAAGGGGGTATCAGTGCATCCAACACCACATCTATTCAGCTTTGTTACAAAAAAAGATACTTTACTGAAGTCAAAAAGCTAAGGGCACTCATTATCCTAACCCTCTGTGGGTCCAATTGCACTGCCAAGCCCAGAGTCCTATATTTGGATAATTCAAAGCATTAAAATCACTAAGGACTTCCGCCAGCAGGAGCAGAAAACATCCACTCAAATTTAAATGATGAGAAAGTGCCATAAATCCACAGCTATCAAATATCAAACTAGTTGAGCAACAACATGACTTGAACCTGTGCCAGGAAGATTTACAGGAAACTGTGTTCATCCACTTGATTCTCCTGCATAATCCCAAAAAAAACAAAACAACCAAAAACAAACAAAAAAAAACAAGACTTTCTGAAGAATCAAGTGTAAAATAAGTCCCTTCAGTCAATCAGCTCTGAGTCATACAGCTGACTGTTACTGCCAACTACAAGCCATCAATTGTCTCAATAAACAAAAGAGAAACAAAAGCTTGATTAAACTGCTGCAACAAAAGACACCATCAACACTGGGAAAACACCCAACATGCAAATCAAAATCAGTGTACTCCAAGACAGACTTGTTATTTCTGTCAGTAGTTGAAGTCAACAAGAATTTTCTCAAGCCAATTTTGAAAAGAGCTCCAGTTGCAGAGAGTCTTACCGTTAATAATTTATACCACATGTTGTATTGTGAATATTACAAATAGTCAGCAGCCTCTATTAAGATATAGTTATGTGTTGAAAACGACAAATCCTTTTAAGGAGACAAATAACACCCACATCCTCTGACACACGGATTTGGAGAGCATGTTTATGATATGAATGGACAGTTTGATGAAGCAACATGGATGAGCAATATTGTGTTGTCAGGTGTGATGTCAAAACAAGGTTTTGCAATCTCCCTGAATTGTTTTATGAGTGAAACTTACTTCCTGCCCTTGAAGCATCCATACATCCCAGCCATGCTGTAACACGGAGGTGAAGCAAACACTTTACAAATTCTTTCCCCAAAAATAGAAAAAGGTTCTTCTCCCTCTTTGCAAAAAAAAAGAAAAAAAGAAAAAGATGTTTTCCGCCGGTATGTGGAATATGAAACCCTCAGTTCCAACACCTTGTGGTTTTCCTCCACATCAGTCTCTCTTTCCTTCCTGAGAACCAATGACTCCTCTCTCTTTTCAATGGATAAGATGCAAGAGACAAGAGAAGATCAGTCTCTCTTCCAAGTCAAACCATCCTGTGAGCTTCCTCCCCCTCCTGAGCTCCACCAGTGTCAAATATTGGATAGAAATTTATCCAAAATTTAGCAGCAGATGCAGGACAGCAAGCCAATTTGAACCGCTCCAGTAGTCACACACAACAGCAGCCAAAGTTCGATTATAGCCGGTTGAGAATCACACAAGACGCTCAAAATTATAGGAGTAAAGTTTAAAAAACAGGAATGTCCTCGTCAACAATTTAGGATTTTATAGGTCTTCAAAAACAGGAAAAGGCTTCTTTCCAAAGAATCCTGGCCTTGAGAAGAAGTATAGTACAAGTCCTGTGGTAGTCAGCTAGAGGGAAAACAATTGACTAAATGACTGAGTGGCTGCTGCATGCCTCGCTCCTCTCCTCCCAGTCACCACGACTGGTAATGCAGCACAGGGTGGGCTGGAGGGAGGAAAATAAAGAGGGAGGAGTGAGGGAGGAGGCGAGTGGGAACAAGAGACTGCCCCCCCCCCCCCCCACGTCCTCTACTCTCTTTTCTCCCCTCTTCCATCTTTTCTTTCTTCCTCTAATTGTGTTTAATTGTGTTCAAAATTAATTCCTTTATAATCTGACAAATGCCAAGAGTTTATTTCTATAAAGAAAGAGATGTATAGAAAACTTTTAAACAGTGTAACTTTGGCAGCAGAAGACAGACTGCAGCTCCTGGCAGCACAAGCTAATTATCAGTTAGCTAGGAAAAAAAGAAAAAAGTAGGACTGATAACAGTGAAACGTGAACTTCAAGCTGGTTCGCTAGGCTACGTTAGTGTGTACTGTTAATAGGAGAAAATGTGTACTGAAATATTAGGCATTATGTGTTTAAATAATGCCAACTTGTAGCTATAGCTATCAAACAAGCAAAAGCTAGCTATTCTTGATTAGCAGCTAGCATAATGTAGCCAGTAGTTTTACATTAACATCAGTTCCTGTGTTTCTCAAACATTTTTGTTTTTAACAGATTATTCCCATGCTAGGCTTCAGTTAAATTTGACTAATCTACTATATCAGGTTATTCAGGTTTTTTCATTGGACCTACATGACTGTTCTTATAATATTAACTATTTTAAAGGAGCTTGCTGGCCCTGAAGCAGGTCTCAAATGTACAGGATTTATCTTGGCTGTGTCCAAAATCACTCACTACTCCCTACATAGTCCACTATATAGGGAGTTTGCTATTTTGTAATGCTGTCCAAATGTATAGTGAGAAATATCATACCCTATATAGTAGACTCAAAGTATCCCACAATGCATCGTGAAAAGTAGTGTAAATGGTTACTAACCAAGCATTATATACCATCATGCATTGTACTTTCGCTGAAAACGGTGCGGAGAAAATTACCCAAGCAGGGTCTGAAAGTGTTTTTTCATTTTACCGATGCACTCACTATATAGCCCTCTACACTGACCTCCCTATAGGGAGGAGTGAATGAGTGAGTGACCTCGGACACAACCCTCCTGTTCAGCTGTTCCATGACAGTTTAAGCCAATTTAAAGCCAAGTGACAAAAAACAACTTAAGGAAAAGTTTTAACTGTTGTGTTTGAGTCAGTATTTAATGGGAGTGTGACAACACCAACAGCAGAGGAGTCCATTAAAAAAATAAAATAAAGAATTTCAAGTGGCTATAGCAACAAATTTCAGAAATGTAAAAAAGACACGATATGGTTTTACAGGGAGTTACATCCAAGACTTTTTCTTGGCGGGTGCAGTGATTTTCCATCTAGCTTTCTCCAAGAAATAGTTCCAAGACCCTTTATATTTTGATTTTGAACAGATTAAACTAACAAGATATAACAATTAATGAATTCTATTGGTGCTGGCAGGCAGATTTTTTTTTTTACTTTTGGACAAAGCCATGCTACTTAGTTCCCCTTGCTTCCAGTCTTTGTGCTAAACTAAGCTAACTTCAATTATTAACATTTAGACATGAGAGTGACATGAGTCTTCTCATCTAACTCTTCACAAGAAAGTGATTAGTTGCATTTCCATATAAAGTATTCCTTTAATGGTTATCAGGTTATCATCCATACAGAGAGACACATTGGATTGTGGAAGTACTAAGGATCCATTCAGTATATGGTACACTGGTACACTGTCCTGTCCTGCTTTCATATAATGGATCTGCATTTTTTAAATTAATCAATATACAGCACTTAGTGATGACGGCATCAATTTTCGGAGCTGACAGATGTTCGTGATGGGACTTCCACGATGGATTTTAAATGGATCTGCAAAGCATGAACAGTATGTGTGTCACCACCACCAGCAAATATTGACATTGAATAAAAGAGGAAATGCTGTATATTAAAAGTGTCTCTTTGGTATCAGTTTTTGCCATGCCATATTAAGCTCTAAAAATGAACACTGTAGTGGTACAGTACACAGCCTCATGTTAATCATTCTGTCTCAGGGGCCGAGCAGTCGTGCAACAGCCTGTCGCAGCTAATCAAGCTAAATAGGCAGCTTAACTATGTACAGCTAGGAGTGCTTCTGTGTGTGCGGCTATGAAGCGACAGGGTTGATCCTGAGATTCCCTGCTGCTAGATCCTCTCAGACACACACATAACTGGCCAGTTTACTCAAATGATCACTATTGGATCAATACAGTTAAAAGAAACCAGACTTTTTAAAGTATGAGCTACGGCAGGGCATGTCTTTACATGTTTCAACAGCCCAAGAATTACAGTAGTGAGCTTTCACATGAGAGTTTAAAGGTTTGCTTCTTAGAAAAATGCTTTCTCATCCAAAAAAGGACCTCTGAGCTGAATCCTATTACACAAATGCAGAAAATATCAGCGTAGTGCTGAGGCAGCTGCATGAAAATTGGCCCAACAGAATGACAAAAACATCCAAATTACATTAATCATCAGACCATTCACAGAAGTGGAATGGAATGAATTTCTCAATTCCTACATGCCCAGACTGAACGTAGGTCGTGTGATTCATTTTTCATTTCAAACATGTTGAAATTGATATAATCTGTCCAAGTCACCAGAGCATGTGTGTGTGTGTCAGTGTAAACAAAGTCAGTCTGTATCACTTCCAGAGCTCAGCAGCTTCACTTAACGGCATAATACACAAACACACCGTCACTAAGATCAGTATTGGTATGCTGGGATTGAAAAATTCCTTTACACACACACACACACACACACACACACACACACACACACACACACACCCACACACACACACTATTGAAGTGTCTACCACATGACATTGCCAATAAACCATCAAGAAGGGCCCTCTCAGGCTGAAGTGGTGTTGACAGAGGATTTCCACCATTTTAACGTATGTGTTAATCAGGGTTTCCACCAGTACGCTCAGGGCTGCCTCAGCTTTGCATGAGATTAATATCAGGAACCAGGATCCTGGGATCTCCCATCCTGAATCTCCTCGTCTTTACTCCAGAAGGATGTCAGACCTTCAGGAAATTTAACAAACCTGTCACATAAATCTACATGGGCTCATTTCAGCAGAGGAAGAAGCGTCGTTTGTTAGAGTATTGTCTCTCGATGCTGCAGGAGGGAGGATTTGTCTGTGTTGTAATACGTATTGATTTTTAGACTGACACAGAGCAGAGAGTGAAACTTATGATGAGAAAACATGAATAATCTGAAAACAAAAGGCTTGAAAATCAAAGAAATGTAAAACACAACACATCCAGTCTGGTTCCTCTCACATTAAACTAGGTTAAACCAATTAGACGGGATGAGTTGGAGCTCGGCTGCTAGACAACCGAGAAGGCAGAGACGCAAAGGTTCGATTGAGCAATGCACCACAGACTGATGAAGTCAGTTGAAAGTGGCCGAGTTATATTTTAGTGGAATATAATGAGTTTTACATTTTGTGTGCAGAGCTCACATTGGAAGGGGAGTGTGTGATTCAGCACGTTGCATATATACACAGGTGTAAAACATCTGGATCTGCACTCTCTCTCATGGAGAAGGCATCATAATCAGTAGCACAGTTTGACGTAACTGAGGCATCAACTCAGTCAGTGTGTTATTATTAGATTAGTTTGCTAAATAAAACCAAAAATTACCTCCCAACATTTACAAATACTAAAAGGTTCAAACACTTTAAATTTCTGTGCATGTATGTTGAATAAATATGCATCAACCCTACAAAACTAGTGCTCAAATAATTGGCGAACAAATCAATTCGGGAATTGACAGAAAGGAGAACGACAATTTAAATATTCAAGTGTTACAGTGACCAACTTACTCAAGTTCAATACTGACTCTTTTTGGCTCCTGAAGGAAATATCTGGCTCTTTGGCGGCTAAATGCTTCGCCATGTTCATAAGTTATAGTTGCTAACTTTTTGTCTGTCATTGGTGCTGGGCAGGTAGTGTGCAGCGGCGGAAAATAACAGTGCTGAGAGCGGTGAGAGTGAACCAAAACATTCAAGGCCGCAGGCCATAAAACCTAAACAATGAGCTGACGGATGCCACAAAACTTGTGTACAGCTGCGGGGAACTTCAGAGTTGGGTAATAATTATCTGCAGGTCTGTCAAAATGAGCCACATTACACGTAGTGATTTGATCCATTGTTATTATAACATTCTCGATTAGTGCAGCTTTGATCATGCAAGTCAAGCGTGTCTTTTTTCAGGTAATCAGCCACAGCACACCCAATCCAGGCATGTTGCTTCTCTTTGTAAGTGGTAAAATGAACTCAGCTCAGAGTCTTTTGCAGAGGAATCTAAATACACCCCTGTGGAGGGAGATTTATGACCTCCTCCATTTCAGTGTATGAAACACCTGGCCGCTCACTCCTCTTACCTCCCAAAAAATCAACAGGAGGAGTTTTTCAAAACACAGCTATCCAGTGTCTCTGCGAACGTGTGTTCATGAATTTCTCAACGTTGACAAACGTCAAAATGGATCCGAGCAGATGAACAATTCTCCATGATGTGTGTATATGTATCGGAGTGTGTGTGTATATATATGTGTATATGCATGTATCAATCATACAGCCTTCTGTTTATAGAGCCAGCAGGAATGTCGGTCAGTTTCCCTTCGAAGAAAAAAAAAGAAGGGGGGAGGGGTGTTGGTATTTCCTGAAACGGCTCCGAGTCTGGACCCACTGAGAGAGAGAGAGAGAGAGAGAGAGAGAGAGAGAGAGAGAGAGAGAGAGAGAGAGAGAGAGAGAGAGACTGCAGGAGATGGAGAGGGTGACAGTTCCTAACTGAGAAAACACACACAGCGAGGTGGAGACCCGTGCGAGTTTCAGTCCATCAAAATTAAATAAGTCGCACAACTCTGCTCTTATGTACCACACTATATTCCCCAAACATGTGTAGCTACCT